ATTCCTTGCCTCCCAACAAACTAGATATTTACTCACACTCACCTCATCGGTGTGCGTCCTCGCCACTCCGACGCCTCGACCCCCATGCTATCTCCGATCCATGCGAGCTCCTGCCGACGCCAAACCCATCCCTTCAAGCCGCGGTATTCTCTCACAATGTCCTGTGTGGCATCGCCCCGCCTGTAACCAACCCGTCCCCAGCTTGTGGCCAGCAATGCTCCTAGAGGCATCGATTCCTCGCCTCCCAGCCCACGTCGTGTTCGCTCATCCTTATCGCCGTGGTGTCCGTCCTCGGGAAACCAGCCCCTTCTGCGACCATCCCCATCCCCATGACATCCCGCCTCCAGCCGAGTCCCTGACTAGACCGATTCCTTGCATCCCAACGCACGCGTTGTTCATTTTCTCTACCTACCGTGGCATTCGTGCTCACGAATCGAGCCGGTTTCCCGACAGTTCTCCCGGCGTGCTCTCCAGCGTCAACGAGGCCCTGGCTACTGCAGCGGAATCCTTGCCTCCCACGCCAGGCTATGCTCACTTCCTCTCAACTCCGTGGCATCGCTACTCGGGTAACCAGCCCCATCCAGGACCCTATTCCCGCCTTGCCATCTCGTGTCCATTCGAGGTCCTAGCTGGGGCGACTCCAATCCTCCCAGCTTACGCTTGTTTGCCCATCCTCCCCTGCGTGGGGTCCGTGCTTGCCAGTCCAGCGCCTACAACGACACGTCTCCCGCGATGCCACGTCGGGTCAATCTGAGCTCCTGGATACACCAACTCCTTGCTAGCAAACTTTGGTCATGTGCACAACTCTCATTTGCGTGGCGTCCGTGCTCGCCAGCCCAACCCGTTCCCCGCCGTTTCTGCCAACATGCCATCTCGCTTCCCGCCACACTTCTGGCTACTCCAATTCCATGCCTCCCACCCAACGCGATATTCACTCACACTTCCCTTCCTGGCATCGCTCGTCCCGTAACCACGACATTTCTCCCGCCATGCCATCTCACGTCTATAGCGGTGCTCCAGGTCTCACTGAAACCATGTGTTCCATTACACGCTTTGCCCACAAAATATCATTTACGCCGCCTTCGTCACCGCCCAGGCAGCCCCTTCTCAACCCTGCTCCCGCCATGCCACCTCGCTTCCTGTCGATGACCTGCCTATACGAATAGCCGAGCTCCTGGATACATCGATTCTTGGCCGTCCAGCCAACTATTGCTCACTCACTCTCACCTTCGTAGCATCCGTTGTCAGACTTTCATAGCTCCTTCTCCGACATTCTCCCGCCACGCCATCACATGCTCGTCCGAGCTCATTGCCCACCGGTTCCTTGCCTTTCGACCGAGGTCTTGTTCATTCCATGTCACCTCCTTGGCGATGCTCCTCTCCTTATCAACCCCTTTCCCGACCCTTCCCCCGTCTTGTCATCTCGGGTTCAGTCGACGCTCTGGCTACATACGTAGGTTCTTTGCCTCTCAAGAAATGCCGCATTCACGCACACTTTCCTACGAGGCATCACTACCTACCCTGTTTCCCGACCCTTCTCCCGTCATGCGATCTCGAGTCCATCTGATCTCCTGGCTACACCGCATCCTTGCATGCCCACTTCGGCTCTTTGCTCGTTATTTGTCGTGGGCACCTATCCTTGACACCGCAATCTCATCCCCGACATGCCATCTCGCGTGCCACCACACTCCTGGCTACACCGATCCCTTGCCTGCCAACCAACGCGGCATTCAACAACACATCCTGTGTGGCGTCATTCCTCCAGTATACTACATAACCCCTGCCCCGACCCCTCTCCCGCCACGCCATCTCATGTCTGGCCAAACCCTTGCTTCATCTATTCCTTGCCTCCCATCCGATGCCTCGTTTATTCACAATTTCTTGCATGACATGTCTCGTCGCTACAACAACCCATGTCCCGAGCCTTCTCCCGCCATACTGTCTATCGTCCAACGGAGCTCGTGACTCCACAGATTCCTGGCCTCCTAACCAACGCGGCGTTCATTCACACTTTCCAGGTGCGAATCGTTCGTCCTGTGCCCATACCCTTCCCCGACACTCCTCCCACCAAACCGTATCGCGTCCCGCCAAACACATGGCTGCATCAATTCATTCCTCCTAACCAAAGGCTCCCTCACACGTTTCTGCGTGAAATCGTCCCTACCGCTACCAACGTCTTCATACATAAGACCATGGTATCTCGTGCACCACTAAACGCATGGCTAAACAGATTCCTGGGCTCCAAACTGATGACATTTTCATTCACACTCACCTCGAACCCATCCCAAACTCTTCTCCCGCCATGCCATCTCGCGTCCCGTCGAGGTCCCGGTGGAATCGATTCCTTGCCTCTCAACCCACGCCTCAGTGGCTCCGTTCGTACTAGTATTCCAGCACCGTGTCCGACCATTCTCCCATCATGCAATCTCGCGTCCACCCTGCATGGTCCTTCACCATTTCCTTTCCCCTCTTCTCGTTCCATTCCAGCTATGTGGTTGTCCCCATCGTTGCCTCTCGCTGCCTCCACCCTTTGCCCTCGGCCCTTACCCTTAGCCGACCCTCCACTCCATCACGCCGCCGCGCGGCCGAACTCATCAGTAAACCCTCTCCTTGCCATGCCGCAATGGCGCCTACATTCGAAGACGTGTGGCGCTGAGCGGCGAAGAAGCTCCGGTCACGTTTTATTACAAGCTCCCACTCTCCGAGCTCTTGCGCGCATTCGTGCACCTCCTTCCCACGCAGATGTATTGTACGTCGATTTCTTGCCCTTTTGGTGCAGCCCTTCGAGCTACTTGTTGTACACCCAGATATTATATCGATTGGTGTTATGTACATACATAATGTACCAATGTCTTATTCCACTGGCCGGGGCATCGGACAACTCTTTCCCCGCTCCATTTCTTAGGGTGGTATCTCCGAGTTTTCCAGCAACACCAGGATGTCGATCTACGTGCACCACACGGAAGAGGCTGGGTATTCATGGTCTTGTTGATTTCATGTGTTCGATTTCGGCGAGTATCCCAACCGGTTTGCGCAGCGCCCCGAAAATTGCCAGGTCGAGAAAAAAATGCACTTGTCCCCGGTACTACTACTCCATACAGTGGGAGAAAACCCCACCCGTAAAACCTTGGCTACAGTAGACTACAGTAGTAAATGTTGAAGATACCATTTGATGTCGTTCTTGCAGAATGAGCCCGTCTATTGTGTGCAGCCCATTGTGTGCGACCTTTTCGGGCCAAGTGCAGCTAACGATCCCTTCCATGGACCGTCCAGTCCCCCCTCTGATTTTTTCCTGCGTGGCGCGATACACAAAACTCGTCGAGAAACCGGGGTTGTGAAAAACAGGCGTCGGGTACCTCCCGGACGGCCACAACGAAGAACACAACGAGGACTTAGGACGCTACACTTGAGAGCACAAGAGAGGACTGCGGAGTAGACTACAGTAGCACGCCGTACGATAGAGGCGCTGGCCGCCATAGGTAGCCACAATCAACGTGCCTTGTAATGACGACATGAAGACACGGTGCAAGGTTGCTCCGACGAGATTCCCACACCTCCTCTACCGTGGTATTTGCCAATGGAGAACGACCGTCATGCTTGCATGTGGCGCCAACCAGCTTTCGCACACCGTGCCCTTCGTGGTATTGCCCATGTCCCGTCGGGCACCGCAAGCGCATTACGTGACAGCTTTGAAGCAACAAAACTCTTTCTTGAACTCTGCCTCCACTTTCTGGGGCAAGTCCCGGGGCGAGGTTTTGTTTTCGATCTCCATAAAGCGCTGCTGCAACGACTACAGTGTGTACATGTAGTCTAGCACGTGACCGCTTGCTGCGCTCAGCACAAATGGTCCATCTGTGTGCCTTGCCGTCGGTGGCTATGTTGTCCCGAGGCCGGTTTGTTGGATGGCGGCATGTGGACCAGCGTGGAAAATACTGCTATGTATCTGCAAAGTGCTGCTGCAACGACTCCAAAAAAGATTTTGACCGGTTACTGTGCACTCAGCACATGTGCATGGACCAACTTGCCTCATCTGAGTGCCTTGCCGTCGGTGGTTGTGTAGTCCCGAGGTCGGTTTGTTGGATGGCGGCATGTGGACCAGCGTGGAACGTCTGCATCTTTACTTCCAAATGAGGGGGTTGCACCGACCAGCGTTGTTTCATTTAGACCGCATCCCTCGTTGAAACGAACACATCGTTGAAGCGAGTATCGGTATTGCGAAACGCCTGCGTAGACTGTAAAACCTTGCCGTGTTGCCGTGTTCCACAGATAGTCGGAACCTTCCCCGTACACGTCGTCTCAGTGCCCGCTTCGGTGCCGCGTCTATTTTTCATGGAAGCTTTAGACTAGTGCGGCAATGCTTGCTTCGGGGCCTCGCCAATCCAAACCGACCGTCGACAACACAAGATGCCTTCGGAAGGTCGTGCAATATTCACGGTCGTGAGAGGCTACGCTACAGCAGAAATCTCCTGTGAAAAGTCTCAGTCGGAGAGAGGCAAAGCAAGAGCTTCCGGGCTTGCTCCACAGACTTCACAATGAAATCAGCGCCTACTCCAGAGTCGCCATGGCCATGCTCGCGCGGTCAATTGTCCACACACGTGTAGAGTGGGCTGCGCTGGAAAAAATAATCCCAGCTTATAGCGATACAACACTGCGTGTATTAGTCTTACGACGGCGGCTTTCGAATCGCAACAGGTTCCCCGCCCCAAAAGAAGAATTATTGACACGCCGGTCGACTCGCGCTGGTATCGTCCGTAGCCCCGTCTTTGGAGGGTCATATTTAACTTACGATATGCAGCGCACACTACACCAGGGAGGTCCGAACGGTGATCACCGAGCGCCACAGCTGATGCTGCTGTTGTCCTCAACTCTGAACCTCCAAAAACATTGGAGGGTCATATTTAACTTACGATATGCAGCGCACACCAGGGAGGTCCGAACGGTGATCACCGAGCGCCACAGCTGATGCTGCTGATGTCCTCAACTCTGAAACTCCAAAAACAATCTGTGTGTTCGCATGTGTACGTAGCGGACGTGTCTCATAACCTGAGACCGTGCGATCACTTCATAAGTTCGCTACAGATCAGCAAACAACAGGATCACAGGCGGAACCTCACACATTAGTCTGTACTACTAACGATACTCTCCCACGAAAACCCTGCGAACCCGTGCTGAATATCGTTATGTCGCCCACGGAGCAAGCCACGCGTCCACGCGAAAAAGCAAAAGCAGGCCTCGTGACCGAACAAAAAAGAGACGAAAGAATAATGGCCAAAGGGACCAGCTTTTTGAACCACAGCAGGAAAAACAGAAAACACTTGAGTCACCGTCAGCCGGATCCAACCCATTCCACTACACCTCTCCCACATCCAACACAAAACTATCGCCAACCGCAACAAGACTATCACGAACCGCAACTTTCAACCGTCAACATGGTGGTGGTGAGAGACATGCAGGTAAGCCTCCCCACCTCAACCAACCACCCACCGGACGGCTGATAGTGCCGGCGGTGTCTCCAAAGGCCTAGTCCCACACGCGTACATACCGCCGGTGGGATGGATCTATTCCCCTGATGTACCTCCTCCACCATCCCCTTCCACGAAAAACACTACTGCATTGGGGGGGGGGGCGGGGGGGCTCTGTTCAAGTGCCGGTTTATTCGGCCGGCACAGACTGCAT